ATGCATAAGCACCCTTCTGTGTGTGGTTCACAAAATGGTCACCTGAGTAATTTCATAACATTTTCCATATTTAGTTCTTTGGGATGCTTTCCTACCTTTCTGCAAAGACACATAATGGGTTAATTCAGATTTTAACAATGAAATTCTGTCACTGCATATCACTAAAGAAAGATGGTTGGTCTGATAGGGAGCAGAATCTCCTGTGTGACCTCCCTTCATGATGCAAAGTAACAAATTTCAACTGGCATTTTCTCCGCTCTCCCACCCAGCTGAAGCATAGTGCTGCCAACTCAATAAATATATCTTGTTGAAAAAACACTCAATTTAATTTAAAATTTTCAAGTGATGGAGTATCTGCTTTGTTCCATGGTAAATTGTGCAAATGATTAGTTATCATGTCTGTTAAAAAAATCAAGGTCTGTTATGAGAGCGAATTAGTCAGGTTTTCACTGCCACTTTCCAACTTTTGTTCTGCTTCTTCCAGGGTATCTTAGAACTCTCTCAGGTATGAGAAATAAAATCTCTCTGTATGGCCCAGTTTCTTGGGTGCTCACTGTGTGATCCAGCACTCAGATGCACCAAAACCAGACAAACATTTAAGGAGGTTTAAGGGAGGTCTAGCAGTTCAGATCAGTCTGAAGAGCAGACTCCTTGGTAATTAATCAAGGGAAAAAATCAAGGGAAAAAAATATTCCTATTACATTATTCTTGAACTAACAACTGTTTGTTTCCCAATTGAACTTGTTCTTGTGCTCCTGTCTCTGCTATGGGAGTTCTCTACTGTTCCAGCTGAGAATATCAATTGTTACAGCTAAGAATATCAATTGTACCAGCCAAGAACATCAATTCTTTTCTTAATTCTTTTCAAATTCTTGAAAGAAAAATTTTCAAAGTGTGGAAACTGAAGCAAGCGTGAGGCATTGGGGTTTAGCTCTTCTCTTACTGGATCTCCCACAGATATAATCAATAACCTTGGATTGATCATGCCTGTAAATATCCTTTGTCTCCTCTGCTGTGTGGAGACTATAATTTTCCACTACATCCTAAAGTTGAAATGAAAACATTTCTGTAATTAATCCAGAACTATATATTAATGAGGCTCATAAGGGAATCTAATCAGAGATGCATGAATATTTCAGATTCAAATGAACAAGCAGCTATTATTGTATGCACAACATTATGTACAAGCTCTTTAAACTGCAGTCTGCTCACAGTCTTGATAATTCTGATGAAATTGGTGTAACCATTGGCTAGATAGGCAGTTAGACTGACAAATCTTGGAAAGGATACTTTTCTCTTTGCAATGGATTATCACATTATTCACATCCTTGTTCAGCACAAGCAGTGAAGAGTACTGTCTATAAATCCCTTTGGATTACCACATGGCTTTGAGCTTGCAATAAATCTTTTCCCCTATCCCATCACCTCCTAATCTGCTAAAAGTCTTCCAAAAGATCAGAACCATTAAGATGTCATTTTATAATGGAGGAATTATAGCCTAATTTAACAAACCTTGTCCTGAGGTCTATAAACTAGGGCTCAAAAGTGAGAAAGAAATCCTGTGCTGAATTCAATCACTGCTTGGGATTCATTGCCGTAAGAGCCCATTCACTGGCTGAGTATCTGCCAGCCTTGCAAACTGCCTGATTTCCCCTACCAGGTTTGAGCTGTTCTGTTCCAGCTACTGCTGTTCCTTACCTCATTGCCCTTTTTTTGTTTTTGTTCCAGCAATGACCCAAAATATGGGTCAAAATGTAATAATTACAGCCCATACAGATTAGATTCGTACTTTCTCTACCTGTTTCAATGTCCAAAACTTTCACACAGAGGTTTTTAATTCAAGGAATGACAACTAAACCATCAGCAAGCAGCCTCCCAGCTTGAAAATTCATAAATCTGACCTTTCTTCCAGTGCTCTGTCACTTGAGGAAAAGGAGGTGCCTCAGCTCACCTAAATGTACGTGTATGGCACACAGTGCTGGCTCAGCCCCAGATGCATTTTGTGTGTGCAGCTCTCAGATAATGAACTGGTCTAATATATACTTCAATCCCCCATGATTTTTGTGAAGTCTTTGCCTTGCTTCACCTCTCATTGCCATTAGAGTTTGCTGGCTGGCTGGCAGTGTAGTTAGGATGCAGGTTTGAGAGGCTGGTGAGGGGCCTAGCAAACCCCTGCAGAGCTTACGAAAAGAGATTGCTGCATTATTCCTTTCTCATACACTGCTTCCATGTACTCTGGCATGTACAGTCTGACCGGTTTCCATGGAAATTATGGAAATTGGACCAGCAGTAGCTGCTTATCAAGTCTGATTTCTTGCCATTTGCAGGTGCCTTTGCCTAAGGTGGCAAAACAGTAAAGATTGGCCTTTTCTTCTCTCTCACTCTGTCCTCCTGTTTGGCATCACCCTCACCCTTTGAGCACCTGGAGGAAATATGTGCATGTGTGAGAGGACTTTCTGCTTGATGAAAATGAAACAGACCCTTTTGGTGGCTTTGTGGAGGGTTGGGTCATGGCTGGGGCACTGCTCAACAAGTGGAAGGGTGACTCCACCCTGCTCCAAGCACCAGTAGCACAGAGCAGGCAGTTCCAAATGCTTCCTCTTCACCATGGTAGGTTTTCCTCCACAGTATGAAAATTGATTGCTCCTGCTCAAAGCCTTCATGGCTGTAAACCATGGTAAGGGTCATAGATTATTAGTCCCCTCACAACTTTGAGCTGCTGTGTTTGACTAGCTGACCTCCTGCGAGACAACAGGGAATCATTACACGATCCAATGACACATGGTACAGCAAGGATCTCCTGTTAGTCTCTTCTAAATTTCCTATCCATTAATTCCACTGAATAACCTCTTTAATACAGTATAATCTCTCCTCAAATTTATAATAAAAAGATCTAAGAGAAAAGGCAGAAAATTAATTCATTACTTCAGCCTAAAATTGGAGGTGCCTACATTCCTGAAACCTCCTTTTTGTTCAGGTTTCTCTGGCCAGTTTATGGCCTGAATAAAACCTTGCAATAGTTGATATACACTTTAAGGAGGAAACTAAGGAGCAATACTTAAAGAAATAGCTCCGATACTAATGACCATTGGAGTAATTCCCCTTTGTCCAGCTGGGGTTTTTTTTGGGATCTTGTGAAATGCCAAAACCTTTCATAAGACCATGGGCTAGATGCTTTTAGCCCCATGCATTCCTTTCAGGGATGCTTTCTCTCCACCTCAGCAATGCCAGAGCACTTTTTTCTTAGTGATCTGGGTTTCCTACAATGGTTTTTGCCCTGAATCCTTCTGTCCTGGAGCACAGGTGACTGATATATTCAGGACAGGCCATACAAAGGATGAACAGATCATCAGAGGATTTATTGTCTACTCTCAAAGCAAGGAATGCAAACCAGAGCCAGTTCTGAGCTTGGGAGCAATGGCATGGGTGTATGTGAGTGGACAGTGAGGGTTGTGAAGAGAGATATGATGAGTAATTCTGTCCTCACACACAGCACAAACTGCTAAAGCCACAGGAAGCTGGAGCAGAGCTGGAGCTCTGCTGCTTCTCTGGTCCATGGTAAAATAAACTGACTTTCCACAATATCCAAAAGAGTTTCAGCTTTGGTCTGACCCTGGACTAGAGGAGTTGGGCTGGTTATTATGGGAGTGACCCGACTTATCCTGTGACAAGGGATCACTTCACTGTTTCACTGGAAATCTTTGAAATTCTGTGCAAAATCTTTTATTCTCCTCTTGCTCAACAGAGGACAGAAGCAGTGCAGCATGTGATGTCAAATGAACTCCAGGGTCCTGTAGCAAAAGTAGCACCACAAGAGGTGATGTTAATGCTGAACTCTCAGATATGCAGAAGGGGGTGGCAAGGAAAATATTCCTCTCTCATTATACCTCACCAGGTCACAGTGCTTTGCTTGCAGGCTCTTTCTCATAGCAGCAAAGCAGCACCACCTTCAGAAAACTGAATTTTGATTGTGAGGAAATCTGACGTACTGGGACAGAGGTAACCCAAGAGCACTGGAGTCTTCCAGGTCAACCACGTTCCTGGGACATTTCTATCTATGTTTCTTGCTCTTTCTTTTACTTTTGAAAGTTCATGATTGGTGGAATTTTGGTTTGCTTTTTTCTATTTGAGTCAAAAACATTTGAGACATGAAGAAATTTACATTCTGACAGCATTTTCCTCCCCTTTTAGTAGCAGTGACTATAAGCAGAAATGAAAGCAAAGCTAGTCATGCTCGTGAAGAGTTTTCAAATGAGAATATTACATGGCAGGAGAACCAGCAGGCTGTGCATGAAGAAATATTCAACAGCCAGATCTGGAACAAAACAGGTCTTCCAGGGGATGGAGCTCCCTCCTCTTGTGCTTTCTCACAGAACTCAGGGTGGGAGAGTCTGAGTTTGGCAAGCAGAGGAGCTCAGGAGTTCGTGGTGTTCATGGCTCAGAGTTCCCTCTAATCAACACTTCTTTCTAACACAAACTTTCCGTGTCCTGGACCACTGGAGCTCAACCCAGGGAAACCAAGACCAAGAGTTTTTGCAGAGTACACAGGCACAGACAAAGCCCCCGTGACCTGTCTGCCAGCTTGCCTCTGCCTCACCTAAGGTCCAGAGAGAGCAGAAAAAATGAGAGCAATTTTTACCAGGAAAAAGGAGAAAGTAGGAGGATTGAGCCACTTCTAAAACTATCAGTTCTCCATGTGCAAAGTAATACTTTATAATTAGGACAGCCACCATTTTTCTCAGCATGCAATGAGAATTCAAGGGAGGCAATATTCACATCACAGCTTACTGACAACCTTTAAATAAATGCATCTAAAAAACAAAGACAGGAGATTGTAATGCTCTTCTTAGCAGTGTGAAGAGTAGAGTCTGATCCTGTTTTCACAGCAGGAATTTTTCCAGGGTTCTGTTTAATTATTGTCAGGAGCTGCAGGGTTGTTCTCCCAGAGAATTAGCAAAAGAAATGTCACAGCTGAGGAGTCACATTGAGAGCTCCATTAGGCTCCTTTCACCACTCTGGTCTCAGAAAAGTACATTTGCCATAAAGAACAAAGAATGTCTGAGAACAGATTATGTGTCTAGAGGTAAGAAATCCAGATTTCCTTTTTCTAGTGAAACATTTTTTGATCTATAAGTTTCTGTTTTATTAGTATTTGAGAAATTGAGAGTTTTAGCCCTTTGGTATTCCCTAGCTATAATGAGGAATTCAGTGTTGTATTGGGTTTATATGACAGGGTTTTGGTGGTGGGGAGAGTTGCAGCCATGTAAATACCACACTGCAAACCAGTCAGGAGAGAAGCTGCATTTTGTGGTAGATTTAGTTCAGGTGGTAAAATCTCCCCATTGAAAAGAATTTGATTTGATACAGGATTATGACTCTTATGGGGCCTTGGGGTTTTCTAGATTGCCTTTTCTTGACTGGGAGCTGTATTTAATGTGTCAGTACCTTTCAGCTAATCAAAATATTACCCTCTGAGAAGTCTGAAAATACATTAATTTTGTTTAGTAGATTAAGTTTAAAAAAATAAGTAAACAATTTTCTGTAGGAAATTGCTTACTCATACAAATTCTTCCATCAAAATTTATTGTGTCTCAATTTTCCAGCAGGTTCCATTGCTCAAGCTCATGATTTAAACTTTTACCTAAGCCTTGCTCAGCAGCTGTAAGGTTGCAAATCAGCTGCAGGTTCTTCTTGGGGAAGGTTGCATTACTAGTTTTGTTCTGACATTGCTTTTTTAGGAAACTTATTTTGAACCAATCCTGAATAGATTAGTGTAACTCCATCTGGGATTCTGCTAGTGAATCCAAGTGTACCACATGAGTTTGGTCCTGCTGTCATACATGATATTTCTCACTTTAAATTCTTTGCAGAAATTTGCTTTCACTTGTTTCTCTTTTGCAGAAACAATAGCATCAAGTAAGCACATTGACCAGAATAATTCAGTGCATTTCTCTGAAATCCTTTGTCCCCTGATAGTGCTGCAGATGAAAGCAATGTGTCCACAGAGCATGAAGGCATTTGCTGGGATCCCCCCCTTATCTCTTGCTGCTTGTATTTGAAGTCTGGAGTGCTCTTGTCCCAGGTGCCAAGGATCTAAGCAACTGGATAATAGCATTGCAATGCTGGTGCTGAGCAAAACCAAATTCCTCATGGCTACAGGACTGGTTCTAGTGCATCAAGGTTTGATCTTGAGGATGGACTGAATGTCCTCTCAGAGCCCTGTGAGCTGAGATTTTTTTTTTTTTTTTTTTGGTATTTCTGCTCTACATTTTGTTTCCTTTTAGCTTCATAATTCCTTTTTTTTTTCTTTCCTACCTTGCTTCTTTCATTTCTTGATATTATTCCATATATAACTGATACTGATTATAACAGAAATGTAAGGTCTCTGTGTGATAAACACACAAAAATTATTGTTATGAAACCCATTTCTGAACTCCCTCAAAGGTTAACAGACAGATACAAGGGCATCCTTATGTACCTTGTTCCTCTATAAGGCCCTTGTTTAGGAAAGAAAAAAATACCCTGTAGGGATATTTACAACTCTGACTGTCTGGGGATTACTGGTGTTTAACTTCTAGACACAAATGTTTAGATGAAACTAATCCCCACTGATCCTAGACTGATCTCTCTCTCTCTCTGTAGTTAATGGTGGGGACAAAGGAAGGGAATAAATGTCAAATGCCTTTGTTTTGGGCCCTAGAAGAGGAAGGTCTTCTGCCTTCTGCTTCCCTCTTCTCATTGCCTGTAGAAGCCCAGGTCTCTGGTTCAGACTAGGTATTCCCAGTTTTGATGCTGAAGAGAAATACAAAATCACACAACAAGCCAGTTACATGGCTTGTAACTGAACCAAAAAATGTAACTTTTAAATGGTTTTAGCTACCAGACCATGACTTACATCATCTCACACCTTTTTTTTCAGCAATGCTGCCTAAGGACAGGGGACACTTCATGATTGAGGTTGAAAAGTGGCCACTGAGGGCTTTGAGAAAAGAAATAAATCCTCTGGCTAAAAAACTGAGACTGACAACTGCGTTTAAAGGCCCCTCATCCCTTCCTGGGGCTCAGAGCCTGGCTCTGCAGCCAGGCAGGCAGTGCAGCAGAGTGAGAAGTGCTGATAAAATCCCTGTTCCCCTGGTAAATGGGACTCACTGAGCAGCTTCTCCCCAGAGCCCTGCAGGTCTCAGTGGTGTAGAGCTGAAAATACTTTTCCTTCAGGGATTAATGGCTCCCTGACTTTTTAATGCTGGTGAACCCAGTTATTTCAGCTCTGTTTCTGCTACTTAACTTATTGTTCTCCGAAGTATTATTCATTCATTGCTGTCTACAGACCTATAATGCAGTCTCAGAAAACATTTCAGAGGATAGGGATTTGATTAGGGTGATGCATTTGAAATGTCAGAGGTCTCTCCACCTCATCTAGAAGAAATGGATAGAGTTGACAGATGTGCTCTGTGATATAATGGGAACAGCATTATTCTTACAACATTTTTATAAACTACTCCTGTTTATTCTATCTCTCCCCCTCTCCCTTGATTTTTCTCTCTCCTGGAATAAACACTACCACAATACAGGGAAATAAATAAGGAAATAGACTTGACCTGGGTCACCTAGCTGGTTTTCTTTATTATTATTTTTTGTTATTTACATAATATTTTCTCCAGACATTCCTCTGATAGGACCACAGAAATGTCTAGACACTTTTTCTGAAATTTTTTTGATCTGCATAGGTGAAATTCTAAATTCTTCATGAGATGCTAATAGTTTTTCTTACTGTTCTTCTGAGTAGCCAAAATCTGGATAGAAAGTAAAATACCAGGTCAGAAAAATTGGCACCATTCTAGAAAAGGATGAAGCCTGGAATTTCTAGCATTTGGGATGACTGGAATCTCAGAGCTGAAAGACAATTGCTGTGAAAGTTTTATTGCCAAGGCAAAGGGAGGTTTCTGCAGCAAGAAAAGCTCTAAAGATTTTCAGGTTTTATTTTCTCATTTGATTTTCCATGGGAAATCCGGAGCCCATCTGATGGCTCTGAAACTTCCAGTATAACAATCTAATCTGTAGGAGCAAAGCTGCACATATATTTAGACTCCTAATTCCCTCTGATTTTTAAATACCTGGATACCACCAGGGACCTGGGTTTAATAGCCTAGCACTAATTCTCTTAGTATTTTACCAGGCTCATTTGTCTTTCATGCACCTGCCAGTGGCTCTAGGCTTCCTGCAATTCCTTGGCAAGGTTACATCTGGGCTTGGGAACCCGGCAGAAAGGACAATCAGAGGGCACCAGGGACCTTGTGAAGGCTCAGACTTTCACCCTTTCTGTGTTGACCAAGACCATAACGTGACATTGCTAACTTTTTCCAAGAGAACATGGGAGCAGTTGCTTTGTCTTTATTCCTCTTTTTTCTCCCCACACAAGACAGCCCCGCCCAGCAGCAGAACCTTTTCATGCCATCTCGTGTCCTTTGCACTGCTCAGAGTAGGGAAACTTCACACAGGTCCCAATAAAAGTGGAAGGAGTTGAGTAAATGTTGATTCATTTCCAACTTTTCATTGCTGCTGGAGCTGCCAGCCAATTTTAATGCTCAGAATTCCCCACAACCCTGTGGCGTGCTTTTCTGAGCGATTTCTCTGGTACCATGGGAAATAAACTTTAATTATGGCCTGTTTCAGTAAATTTAACACACCAACTCTTCACTTGGAATGCTGACCATGGTAAACCAACATCGTAAGGGGTGGGTACAATCCTACCCAGACATTAAGCATTTTGCAGCTACATTAAACAGTTCCACAGGTGTGTGTTGGGAAAAAGCATCACTGAGGCAATGGATTTGTATGCCAGACTGATAACAGGGAGCTTCAGCCCCTAGCAAGGGACTTGATAAGGATAGACTCTAAAAATTAAACATTGCGAGTGTTTGAGAAAAGGACATTTTTGACTACCAGGTAAGCAATAAGCTGTTCTGCAGTCCTCATTCTGGATGAAGGTTTCTCCTCTGTTACCATGGACTAGCCTGGGTAAAAGCCTAATGTGCTGCAGCTGCAGACTTGTTTGATAATCAAACAGATAAAGTCCTTCTTTCATTTTGCTCATGAGGAGCTCCTAATAAACATTTGCAAAACTGTGTTGTTAACCTTCCCCAGGCTCTTTCCTAATCCTTTCTTCTTGGTTTTTAAACAACAAGAATAAAAAAGATTTAGTTCTCAGTTTTTAATAAGAAGGCTGTTTTAGTATATCACAGTGGCTCTTGATTTACAGGTAGTGTTTTTTTACCAGAGCTGCACTAAAACACTTGAGTGTTTTAGTTTTATTCCTCTCTACCTGCACCTGTCTCTCATTTTATTAGCTTGGCTACAAGCACCTGTTGTGGAAGGTTTCTATAAAAACTAGGAATAGGATGCTGTTTTTCCTGATTTGTTTTGGGGCTCTCTGACTGAGCCTCTCTCATACTCCTGGTCCTGTGAGACTGAGCCTTCCTCCAGGTACTCTGCTACATTTAACTTTGGGAGTTTGGTGGACTTGGTTGGTTGGGTCATTTTATTTCAGATAAGGACTTCAATTGCTTTGCCCCTGTGTGACATTTGGGTGTGACAAGAAAGGTATGTCCTCTTTTTCTGTTTCTTCTAGTTCTTTAAGGCTTCCCTTCTGGAAAAGAGTCTTCTTTATTTGTGTCACTGTTACAACTCTTTGAACTGGATTCTTCTGAGGTTCAATTCTTTAAATACTGTATTTTTATTAAAACAATAAATGATAAGATTTCAAAGGCAGCCCTCAGGCAAAGTAAATCCATTACCTCTCTGGAGAGCAAGGTGATGATGGTTGCCTTTTATTCTACTAATACAATACCAAGACTCAGAAAAACCTATGCAAATTTTCAATGTAACCTTTAATTGAGCTTTACCTCTTTGTCCTTGCTTTGACCATATTTTCAGCTATGCTGTACTGCTATCTGAGACTTTCTGTTTTGTGATGAGACAATCTTTTTCTTCTCAAGACTTGCTTAACTTAGAATAATTTGAGGTAAATATAAATATTCTAGAAGCCTAAATAGTGGTGTTATTGTAGCCAAGATCATGTGATGG